GGGGGGGGCAAGGTAGCAGCTCAGCCTCCTCAGGGCCTGCCCAGCAGCTCAGCACCAGGAACAGCTCTCGCCACATGAAGTCAAAGCCGGGGGCCTGCAGCCAGCCCACCTCAGCAGGGCCTCCGCAAGCTCCGCGCCCTCCTGTCCTCTCTACGAGGCTGTGTGGTCTCAATCTCATACCTGGGCTGAGACGGGAGTGACCCCCAGGCGCCTTGGAGTTCCCAGGGGCCAGGACCAGCAGGCCTCCCTGCTGCCAGCTCCCCCTAGCCATGCCCACCCTAGCCACAGAACAGGGCCCCGGGGAGCCTGGTCCCAAGGCCACAGCAACAAAACCCACACGGTCCGCACAGCTCCTAGCAGGGGCCGCGTCAGTGCCCGGCTGCCTGAGAACCCTTGAGGGCGATCGATGCCGAGGGCTCCTTTCCCAGGCACTTGAGTCAGGAGTGCTGCTCAGCACCCACACGTCCTGCAGGCACAGCGGGAGGGCACTGGAGGGACGAGGGCGGCTCTTCTGGCCCGGCGGGAGCAGTGAGAGACACAGGGGCCCGGGTCTGTGGGGCAGCTGGCGCTCGGTGCCCACGAGGTCTAGAAGCAGCGCAGGGAAGGGCTCCCGCTCTGGGCTCCCCACACGGGAAGAGTCGGGAGAGGCTCCTGCTCCAAAACAAAACAGCGCAGGTGGCTCCGGCCTCTTTTAAAAACTCTATTTGGTGCATGCCCACGGCGCTGCGTCCCGTCAGACATACCTGTATAGATCTCTCTATTTATACATATATATAAAAGGTTCTGTAGCAGTTAAATAGATTCCAATGCGAACGTCTCCCAGGACAAAGCTGCATCGCGCCTCTCGGCCACACGCATCCGTGCGGGCTGCGGCGTACGTGCCGTGTCACGGTAGTGCGATATAAATATGTTGATTTGAACGTAGTTTCCCTGTGGTGGCAAAAACACATTCCTGACAAGTGACAAGCGGAACCATCCGGCGGCCGCGGTGCCTCACTCGGCCGGGACCTCATACTTGAAGATGACGCTGAAGAGCCGGCCACCCAGCCGCTCGGCCAGCCACGCGTTCTTGATGACGGCCAGCTTGAGGCTCTCACAGCACAGGGCCGCGTGGTAGTTGGTGTGGACAGCACGGCCCATGCCCTCGATGACCACCAGGTCCGCGCCACGCTCCCGCACCAGTGCGGCCAGCCCCTTATCCAGGCGGCTTTGGGGAGGAAGAGAGAGAGACTAGACGAGTGGACCCCAGACCCCACCTCCCATACAGGGCAGCGACCAACGTGAAGGCCGAAACCCCCACCCCTCAATCCCTGATGTGGGGGCCTCCAAACCCAGCCTCAGCCCGGGGCCGCCTCAGAGCAGCAGCTCCCGCAGGGCCAGAGCAGCTGCAGCCGGGAAACTGCCCGAGATCTCCCTCAAACTCTAGGGGCTGATTCTTTGTCACCTTCACGCCCTCCCTGTTGGTGAGGTGGGACTGCAGCACAGATGAAGCCAGCACTGGAGAATCCCACCAAGCAGAGAAGACCAGTGGCCCCAGCACTCAGAACCCGCTCATTTAAAAGGTTCCTTTCTCTGCAATCAGCAGGACAGAGAGCACCACATACAATCGA